TACCTGTGTTTTTTTTTTTTTTTTTGAGGAAGATTAGCCCTGAGCTAACTGCTGCCAACCCTCCTCTTTTTGCTGAGGAAGACTGGGCCTGAGCTAACATCCATGCCCATCTTCCTGTACTTTATATGTGGGATGCCTACCATAGCATGGCTTTCCAAGTGGTGCTATGTCTGCACCTGGGATCTGAGCCGGCGAACCCCGGGCCGCCGAGAAGCGGAACGTGCGCACTTAACCGCCACACCACTCGGCCGGCCCTGCTGTGTACATTTTTATTTGCTTGTTTGCTGATAGGGAGTTGAGTTGGGGAAAATGCTGTCAGTGAGATCATACCATAGCCTTTTATTTCTGTACCCCATCATTCCAGGCGGCCCAGAGCTCATCCAAAGACAACAGCCTTTCCCATTACGACACATCTTATTTTTTTTGGAAAACCAACACTGCTGGAAAGTGGGGAGGTGAAGGAGAAGAGGAATAGAAAAACAAATGAACAGGGCTCTCTTGTTCTCCTGATAAAAATCTCCTGTCCGGGCAGTGCACTGTGCCACCCGACAGCCTCACCGGTCTCTCCCACTGGTGCAAAACTACCTCCAGGTCTCCCTAATCCTCAAGCAGAGCTCGCACACTGGAAGAGCTCCTGGAGACCCTGGAAAATTCCACAGGGCTCTATTTATGAGCAGGGCTGGGATTACTCCGGCGTCAGCTTCTGCTCCACGCTGGTCCCCAGTGCTGCCTGCACAGAGCTCTGGATCTTATTTCAAGAATTCAACTGCACCAATTTTGTCTCCTACCCAAGGTCTCGACCCATAGCTGAATTACAATTAGTTGCCCCAAGGAACCTGGAAGAGACTCATTTCAGAGGAAAATGCCTTCTGCTAGGCAGCACCAATCTAGCCTATAGTTAGCATCTCTGAATTTCAACTCTGAGAACTGCCTCTGCTCACGGGGCCCAGAGAAATCTTGTCTTTTACAATGGCCCATATTTGCCACACTTCAGACAGGCCTCTCCATAATTCTGAAATTGTTTCTCCCAAACCTCATTTTTAAAACAATCACTGCTGAGGAAGTCTGCTACCAAAGCTGCCTTGAGAATTTCTTCTTGAAACAAGAATAATGATCGCTTTTCTGAAAAATGCAGGTTGCAAAACCTGACAGCAGACGTGCAGGACTGAGGGGCGTGAGACGAGACTTCTCCTCTGGGATCCAGGCCTGATTTGTTGAGAAAAAGGGGCAACAACCAGGGGCCTCCGTTCTCATTCTCATCTGTGAAATGGGATGGAATTCCTTCTCTTCTCTGTCTTATTAGGGTTTGGGAATGGCACCACATTGGATTAATATGTTTGCTCTCTGGAGAAACAGATACACTTGTAGAATGTCACTCTCATGAAATTTACCTTTCTTTCTCGAGACTGTTAGATTCTTTTTTATGGGGCAGGGGAGTCATGTTATTTTTATCACAGAGTACAACGTTGAGGAAATTGGGATATTAGAGGTGCAAACCCTTATAGCCCAGGGCTGGCTGTGTTTGAAAATGAGCTCTTTTTAGCAAGAAGTTTTGCTCTTTAATACAATGGAAAAGTAATTTATTGAGAAGTGTCTTTGGAGATAACAAGGAGTAACGCACCCCTGCAGATGTTTCACCTGAGGCGAGGAGGGACGTGGTGGTACTGGGAGCCCGGAGATGGCATTCGTGTCCCTCCTCTGCCGCCACCTGGCTGTGTGTGCTCCTAGTTCAGCCTGGTCACTGCTCTAGGCCTCTGGTTTCCCATCTGTAAAATGAGCAGGCTGAGTTATATCTGTGGTTTTCACACGTTTTTAAGCAGTGGAGCTTCTCTTAGTGAACAGTTTTTCAGAAACCAAATATAGGCCATCCCAGGAGAGGCACCTGAACCCCACTTGCGCCTGTGAGGCTGTCCATACGCCTCACAGTGCTTCCCGAGGCATCCCCGGGCCCTCTCCTGCTCTGGGGTGGAAGGCAAAAGCCAGTAGCCTAGATGACCTTGGAATTCTTTTCTAACCAAACAGAGAAATGCTGTTTCTAATCCAGTTGATGCTTGGTTTATGCCACCTCTGGAGGACTAACTCCCTGTGATGCTCAGAGAGGGATCCTGCCAAGTGTTGTGGGTCTGTTCCCCGGACAGCTGAAGCTTCAGAAAACAAGTGACAGGGACCTGAGCCTGGAACACTAAGACGCAGGCCAGCGTCAGTCACCAAAGGAACTGCTGTGTCTTCCACAGCCACACCTCCCTCGCTGGCTGAAGAAGACCCTGTCGCTAGTTGTGGTCCGTGTGTGTGGATGTAGCTGCCACATGTTTCCTCTCTCCCTCCTCATTCATTCATTCAGTAATTCAGAAACATTTATTAATCACCTGCTTTGAGACCACAAGTGGTCTCGGGAGGAAGACTGGCAATGAACAGGTCAACAAATAGCTGTACAGTCACACACGGGGAGCAGTGAATAGTGGTAGGGGTGGGGGTCCTGACTGAAGATGGTGTGAGGCGAGCCGCTGTGGGAAGAGCTGGAAGAGGAGGTCCAGGCGGGAAGGGGCTCAGTGTGCTCCAGGACAGAGGGCCCTGCTGTGGCTGGTACTCAGAGAGAGTGGAGAGTGAGAGCAGCCCAACCTGCCGGGGCCTCCAGCACGCCCCACCGTGGCGGCGAGCCGGCTCGGGCAGGAGCCTGCATCTGAGGGAAGGCGTGGTGTTCGCCCGAGGAGCAGAGGCTGTTCACGCCGCAGCGCAGGAAACGGAAGGCAGTTAATCCCTTGAGCAACATGCTCATTTATTTTCCTTTTCACTGCCCGGCTGAGGGCCCTTGGCCTGTGGGTGGCGGGCCCAAACTGGGAGAAGGCTGAGGTTGGAAGAGGAGACGGGGAAAGGAAAGCAGAAGCAAGGGAGAAAAAGGCAGCAGCAGAGCCCGGGTCCTGGCTGAGTGTCCCACTCACGGGCTGCGTGACTCCGGGCGAGTCACTTAACGCCAGCTCCTCCTCAGAGACCCAGGCTTCCCTCAGAGCTTGCTGTCAAGAACAAACGAGATAACATATGGGCCTGGCACACTGAAATGGTCCCCTACATGGTGAATGGACGGGGAGACAATTCAGGTGAAAGGTGAGACAACGGCACATTTGTTTAGGGTTTCACAATTCGCAAAGCCCTTTCACCCACAGAAAGGTGGAGACTGCACCTGCACCTCGATGTCTGTACCTTCATCCCTGACTCCCTCTCCTACAAACCAGTCATAAATAATGTCAATAATAATAACACCAAGTTTAAATGTTTATTTCAAATGTTCACTATGTGCCAGGCACTGTCCTAGCACTTTACATGTCTCAACTCGTTTAATAGCCACAGCCACCTAAGAGGTAGGTACTGTTGCGATCCCATTTTACAGATGAGGACACTGAAGCACAGGGAGATTAAGTGACTGGGTCAAGGTCACACAGCTAGCGACAGGCCAGAATCAAAGATGTAACTATTGTTAGGCTCTCTGCTAAAGAACAGGGCTACAGAGACAAGGAGGCACACCCTGCCCTCACTGGGCTCACAGATCTCGCTTCAGGGACACAAATAAATCTCACACAAGGTACTAGATGCTACTGTAACTGTGGTGGAAGTGCTAACAGCAGAAATGAGCTCTGATTACTCCTTCATCAAACACGCATTAAGCACCTACTGCATGCCTAAGGAGCTGGGGATGTACGGTGAACAAGACCCACGTGGAGGTCCCTGCTCTCGGAAGGTAGAGTCTAGAAGACGAGACATGCAACAAGCCAATGTCTACACACCCTACGTGTACACAGCCTACTGCTGTGTGTCTTAATTCTGCCTGTGATAAGAGCTATAATGAAGCAAAGGGTCCCACAAGAATGAGTGAATGTCAAGACTTAGGGACGACTTTCAGAGGTGCTAAGAAGTGAGCGCACACCGCCCCCCCCACCCCCCCCGCCCTCCCACTGAGGCCTCTGTACTAAAGGCATACAACCAAGAGTGTGGTGTTAAAATGGGTGAGAGGCAGGGCAGCTCTGATTATGCTGGGGTACACTGAGACCCTCTCTCTTCACTCCTTCTTGGTGCCTCTCCAAGAAGGTAAGCAGAGGAAAGGGCTTTGCTTGATTTTGCTGCAACTGGTGAAAGCTTTGAAGTAGAGAATAAGCTTGAGACCACTGGCTGGAGGGCAGTGTGGTCTGGTGGTTAAGATCACATGCTTGGGGCCAGACACACAGGGTTCAGTCACCACGTCACCAGCTAAGAGCCATGGGACCAAGGCTAAGTCACTGAACCCTTCTGAGCCCAGTTTTCTCATCTGTAATGTGGTGTGGCGGATACTGTAGGTGGGCTCACTCCACACCTCCTCTAATCCACTTCTCCCTTTCCCACCTCCACTGCAGAGGCCAAAGTCAAAACATTTACATTCCTAGCTGCCCCCACAGGCAGGGATGCTGGATGTCAGAGTTCTGGCCAAATATCTTCCCTCAAGAAGACTTTCCTGAAGAAGAAGGCAAAGTCTTGAAAGGAGGAGGCTTTGTTCTCTGTCTTTCCTCCTTCCTCTTGACTGAAAGGTAGACTTTCTAGAGGGACAGCAGCCCTTCTGCCACCAGGAGGATGAGGAAGCAGGAAGAGAGAAGCCTGGTTCTTTGATGACAGCCTCAAGCAGCTGTACCAATCTGGACCTTATTATGAAATAAATGAATGAATGAATGAATGAATGAACGAACCCCTTACTTGTTTGAGCTATTGTTTATCAAGTTTTCTATTATTTGCAGTTTAATGCATTTCTACATTGATACAAGTGAATGGAAAACAGAACCCACTTCATGGGTTGTTGTGAGAACTAAATGAGATAATGTGTGTAGCATGACCTATAGGTTCATGGCCCGGCACATAGCAAGCATCAGTAAACGGTGGCCCATACGTTGGTGCTGCTGAAGGAAAGAAAACCTGCCACCTCTTTGCCAAGTCACTGGATGGAGGAAGGGGGACAGGAAGCTGGGTGGAGCAGGCCCTACCTCGATCACTGAAGTCATCGACCAGCACAATCTCGGCGATCAGCTCCGGGGGCGAGCGGTTCAGCACGCTGTGGACAGTCCGGAGGAGGGAGGACCAGCCCTCATTGTGGAAGGGGATGATGATGCTGGTGTTGGGGAGCGTCTCCAGGTAGCGTTTGCTGTTGCAGCTAGAGGGAGACACAGGGGACAGAGAAAGGTCAGGGTCAGCTTTCACCTTGCCAAGAGAACTCACGAGCATGATTTGGCTAACTGCAAATCCTACTTCCTCTCCAGCCTTTAGGGAATGAGTGGAAGCAAGCACACTGCAGTCACTTCAGAACTTTCTTCTCCTTGGCATCCTGAAGTCCTGCCTCCAATCGCTGCACACACAGTGCACAGGGTAGGTATGCAAGACCCTCCTCCCACCCCCAGCTTCGTACGGGTTTGGTGATTGACAGGCGCTAACTTGTTAAGCCTCAATCGTGACAGGAACATGGCTGCCCACCCTCATGATTCCATGTGGAGGACAGCCCTTCAGTAACACCCTGGCCTCTTGTCCCACACCTTGCACATTACTCTCCAGTGGAGAAGAAACCACGTATCCAGGAGTTTGGAAGAATAAACTGGGCTTCACAGGCTCCGCACCTCCTCTCTCCCTCCCTGGGCTCTGCCAGCAGAGGGCTCACTTCCTTCTCTGCTCTTCACCAGCTCCACGCTCAGGCTGGGGGTGGAAGGCCCTGTCCCTGTGGACCTTTAATACCATTATAACACCCAAAAGAATTAACACACTTCCTTAATATCATCAAATATCTAGTTGGTGTTCAAATTTCCCTGATCTTCTTATGTCTTTTTATAGTTGGTTTGTTTAAATCAAGGCCAAGACAAGGTCTACACCCTGCCTTTAGCTGACGTGTCCCCTAAGTGTCTTTGTTGAAGAAACTGGGCAACTCATTGGTCCTACAGGATTTCCCAGTCTGCATTTTGCTGCTTGCAACTCTGTGGTTTCTCTGAACATGTTCCTCTGTCCGGCCCCCTTTGGTTCCTGTAAACTGGTAGTTATATCTAGAGGCTTGACTTAATTGCATGAGCTATTCTGGCAATCTCTTCATAGGGGTGGTGAGGAAACCATATCCAGTTGTCCTTCCTTTAGTGATGTTGGTGACCACTGGTGATCAGTGTTTAAATCTTTATTTTATCACGGGTTTGCAAATGGTGATATTTGAATTCTATCATTCTTCGTTTACTAGCTGGAACACTTCTATGGAGAAAAACTTTACCACATCAACTATTTGGTTGTCCAGAAGTACAGGAAAGACAGGATAAGTTCTTGATTCTTTATTGACCAGTTTTCGGAAGGACTTGGTTCCCTAGCATCCTCTAAAGGTGGACGCTTATTTGTTATCCTTATGAATTCATAAATTTTAACGTAATTAGCATGTTTCAATTCAATGCAGTTATTACTCTTATTGGTTCCTGTATAAGCCCATCTTGAGCCAAAGGCAGTCTTCTCAAGTTGGCTCCCAGTCCTGTGGACATGACCACAGAGGACTGATAGTTTCCCTGCTTTTCGATAAAAGTTATCAAAAGATTCTCCAGGCTTAACTCATCCATTTCCTGCCCTACCCTGGAATCAGCCATTCTGCCAAGGAACCCTGGCTCCTTAACCTCATCAATAGCACCATTTAAATACTGCAACGTGGGCACTAAGGGCATTTATTACTACTGGGTTGGTTATGGTTTCCATGCTTTTACAGTGGTCAGAGCTAGAAATATATTTTAATAGATACATCATGAGTTTATGCTGAAATCTTATATTTAATATATAGGATTACAGTATTTTATTGAACTTTATTTTATACTGTATCTCCTCTTTTATTGAAATATAATTCACATATCATAAAATTCAACATAAAACTCATCCTTTTACAGTGATAATTTGGTAGCTTTTAATATTTCACAATGTTGTACAACTATCGCCACTATCTAATTCCAGAACATTTTCATCACTCCCAAAAGAAATTTCATATTCACTAGCAGTCACTACTCATTATCCCTTCTCCCTTGTCTCTGGCAACCACTAATTTGCTTTCTGTTTTCATGGATTTTCCTATTCTGGACATTTTATACAAATGGAATCATACAGTATGTGGCCTTTTGTGTATCATTTCTATCACTTTGCATAATGTTTTCAAGGTTCATCCATGTTATAGCATGCAACAGTACTTCATTCTTTTTCATGGCTGAATAATATTCCACTGTGTGGATATACAATGGTGACCCCTTATCTGCAGTTTCACTTCCCACGGTTTTAGGCACCCACGGTCAACCATGGTCTGAAAATACAGTAAATCAGATATTTTGAGAGAGAGACTACTACATTCACATAACTTATGGTATATTGTTAGAACTCTCCTACTTTAATATTAGTTATTATTGTTAATCTCTTACTCTGCCTAATGTATAAATTAAACTTTATCACAGTTATATATGTATAGGAAAAAACGTAGAATATATAGTCATCCCTCAATATCCATTGGAAATTAGTTCCATGACCCCTGGCCAATACCAAAATCTGTGGGTGCTCATGTCACTTATATAAAATGGTGCAGTATTTGCAGATAACCTATACACATCCTCCTATATACTTAAAATTGTCTTTAGGTTACTTATAATATCTAAAACAATGTAAATGCTATATAAATAGCTCTTATACTGTATTGTTTAGGGAATAATGACAAGAAAAAAAGTCTACATGTTCAGTACACGTGCAACTATCGTAGGCCTTCTGATCCACGGTTGGTTGAATCTGTGGATGCAGAACCAGTGGATATGGAGGGCCAACTGTAAAGGGTTAGTACCATCTGCGGTTTCAAGCAAACACTGGGAGTCTTGGAAGGTATCCCCCATGGATAAGGGGGGACTACTGTACCATGTTTTATTTATGCATTCATCAATTGATGAACATTTGGGTTGTTTCTACCTTTTGGCTATCATAAATAATGCTGCTAGGAACATTCACATACAACTTTTTGTGTGGACATATGTTTTCAATTCTCTTGGGTATATACCAAGGAGTATAATTGCTGGGTCATAAGCCAACTCCATTTTTAACTCTTTAAGAAACTGCCAAACTGTTTTCCAAAGTGGCAGCATCATTTTACATCCCCAGCAGGAATGTATGAGGGTGCTAATTTCTCCACATGCTCAGACCCACTTGTTACTGTCTATCTTTCTAATTACAGCCATCCTAGTGGTTATGAAGTGGTTTCTCATGGTTTGATTTGCATTTTCCTAATAACTAACGATATTGAGTATATCTTCATGTGCTCATTGACCATTTGTATATCCTCTCTGGAGAAATGTTTAGTAAACATGTGTTTCAGTTTTAGATTGTTCCTTAATAGCATATTGAAATATAATTGATTTTTGTATATTTAGCTTCTATCCTGCAACCTTGCTGAACTAATTTATTAGTTTTAATAATTTTTTTGTGTAGATTCCTTAGGATTTTCTATATACAAGACAATGTCACCTGCAAACAGAGATAGTGTACTTCTTTCTTTTCAATCTAGATGGCATTTATTTCTTTTTCTTCCCAATTGCCTTGGATAGAAACTCCAATACAATGTTGAATAGAAGTGGCAAGAGCAGACAGCCTTGTTTTGCTCCTGATCCTAAAAGCAAAAGATTTCAGTCTTTCACCATTAAATATAATGTTAGTGTGTGTTTTCCACAGATGCCCTTTATCAGGTTGAAGAAGTTCCTCTATTCCTAGTTTGCTGAATGTTTTTGTCATGAAAAACTGTTGGATTTTGTCAAGTGCTTTTTCTGCGCCTACTGAGATCAGCATATGGGTTTTGTTCTTTATTCTATTAATATAATGTAATATGTTGATTGATTTTCATATGTTGAACCAACCTTGCATTCCTGGGATAAATGTTGCTTGGTCATGGTGTATAATCCTTCTCACACGTTGCTGATTTTGGTTTGCTAGTGTTTTGTTGAGGATTTTTGGATCTATATTCATAAGTGATATTGGTCTATAGTTTTCTTGGTTTTAGATATTTTCTCTCTTTTGCTAAAAACCTAGGTTCTTAACATTAACACAGTTATTTATTTGCTTTTTCCTATAACATATAGTAGTTTCAGAAAAAAATACCAATGTGATTGCTAACAATATGATGACAGGAAATTTAAGATTCCTTTGTCCTTCATTTCTTTTTTCTGCAGGGTATATTTCATTAGGGATACTGGGGATTTTCCCAGGGCCCAGAAGAGGGAATCTGAGGACCAGGCAGGCTCAGAGAGAATAACAAAACTGTCTACCTTGTGTCTCCAGATAGAAGCCAGGTGTGTCAGGCAGAGTAGCGGTCCCTGAAGATGTCCAAGCCTTAACTCCCAGAAGTTGGGAACATGTTACCTTACATGGCAAAAGGGACTTTGCAGATGTGATTAAAGTTAAGGACCTTGAGATGGGTTTGAGGAAACTGGATTATTCAGGTGGATCCAATGTAGTCACAGGGGTCCCTAGGAGCAGAGAACTTCAGGCTGGGTCAGAGAGATGAAGAGTAGGGAGTAAAGATTTGAAGTATGTGAGGAACTCAACCCACCATTGCTGGCTTTAAAGGTGGAAGAAGAGGGTCATGAGCCAAGGAAGGTGGACAGCCTTTAGAATGATCCTCAGCTGATAGCCAGCAAGGAAACGAGAGTCTCACTCCTTGTAACTAAATTCTGCCAACAACCCAGCTAAGCAAGATTCCCCTAATGCTCCCAGAAAGGAATGCAGCCCAGCCAACATCTTGATTTTAGCCTGATGAGACCCACGTCAGACTTCTGACTTATAGAACTCTAAGAATAAGTTTGTGTTGTTTAAGCAGCTATGTTTATGATAATTTGTTATGGCAGCTAAAGAAAACTCAAATACAAGGAATCATCCTTAATACCCTTTACCCAGTATGTAAAGATTATTTGCAAACATTTAAAAACTAGAAGACTTCACATAAAAACCCTCATGAGTCTCACACAGCAGCAATGGGCTGGAGTGGACAGTGGATGCCCCTCCCTATGGGGCAGGTGCTCTCCGGGTTACCTCAGCTCTCACCACCCACCACGGTCTTATACCAGGGCTGCTTCACTCCCTTACATTCTCTCTCAGGTCCCTGGAGACATCTGAAGCTGAGAGCCTGGA